GAAACAACCGCCGCGGAGCCCCATTCCTGGGCTTCCTCCCCACGGCTCCCACCCCCCTCCCGCTTTGAAGTTCCTCCTGATGCCAGATGGCAGGGCGGCCGCTGGGCAGGGCTCTGTGTCAATGAAAAGCAGGTCGGCCTCCTGGCCAGAACCAGCGCCGCCTTTCCCTGTCTCCTCCGGATCAGGGCCGGGGTGGGCAGGGGGAGAAGGGGGCCCAAAGTGAGGGAAACGACACGAGCCAGGAAGGCCTGATCCTTTCGGGTGGAGAGACCCACCAAAGAAGGACCCTCAGCACATGGGGGGTGGGGGGGGTTCTGGGAAGGCTTGCCCTTCAGGGGGCTACTGATGGCAAAAGGGGGAGGACCTGGAGGAGGTGGGGGTGGAGAGAGTCGCCTCCCCGAGATGTCCCTACACAAACCTGCGCCGCTGCGCAGCTTTCGGGGGACTCTCCCCATGGCCTGGAAAACAAAGCTTGGAAAGGTTTGGGCCTGGGCTCCTCTGGGGTCAGACCAGGACCGGCCGGATCCTTCCCCCCCTCGCCCTCCGGGAAGACAGCCGGTCTTTCTCGAGGAGCAACCAGGCCGTCCTCCGCTTCGCTCCCCAAACCAGACAAGGTCGGGGCTGGGGTCGTGACCTTGGCAAGGACATAGCATCCTTTCTGGCCCAGGGATTCTGGCGGTTGTCATTCAAAAGGAAAGGCTGTCCTTTTTGGGCCCCCCCAGCCGCCCCTCGATCCTGGGGGTGGGGGAACACGTCCCACACTCAAACCCATGCTTCCCAGATCCAGAAGAGCTCCCTGAATCAGCAGCTGTTCCTGGTGGGGCCGTTTGCAGCCGGAGGACAGCAAAAACAAACACGCCAACCCAGCCACTGGGGAGACCTGAGGGGCGCATGCCAGGAGGACGCGGGCCCCGGTCTGGCTTCACCCCCCTCCCTTGAGCATTTGGGGTAGGTCTTCTGGACGCAGAGCCACCCACACGGCTCCACCGTGAGGGCAGTCTCGGATTTCGGGGGTGCCCTTCCGACCCGGCACCTCTGCAGCAACAGCAGCCCCACCGATGGGCCCGAGGCCCTGCAGAGAGGCCAAAATCCACCACCCCCACCACCCCCTGACCCCCACGCAGATGCCCCACAGGATGGAAGGAAAGGAGGAGGGACCCCGAGACCTCTGCCAGGGCCAGGGGGGCCTTTGAAACGTTTGCAGGGGATGCAAGAGGTACCGATGCTGACCTCGGGTGGCCCTGTG